AGCAGGATCCCTGTGGGTCCCTTCCAGCTCAGGATATTCTGGGAGATTCTAATATGGAAACCCCCACTTCTACCCTGACTGTGCTCTGACACAGTGAGGAGATGTTGTTTAATGTTTTACCTTGGAGAAAAATGAGGCCTCAGGAGCAGGATCTGAACTTTGCAGGGAGGGACCACCCTGTGCTAATGCTGGTTCTTAATGCTTCTGTTGGGTGATAAATATTCCTGATGGGCCAAGGGGTTTTCTTTGGAGGCTTTGCTGCTGTCGTGGGGGCTAAAGATGTTGAAGGTCAGGGTTCAGATTCTGGGTTTATGGGCACCCTTTGCCTTACAGGGGCTGAAATAGCAGCTTTTCATTCTGCCTGTCATGGCTGAGAGCAGGTTGGCATTTGAATCTTGAAGGGTCACTGTTCTTGGCACAATTAAATCTGCTTTGGAGACAGATAACTCACCCCAGCTTGACACGTTGGCCTGGACATTTTAAATGTGCTGCTCCTGTTCTGTTTGTGTTCCTTATTCCATAATTATGGAGTGTTAAACTGTGTGGGGCCTGCTTGGGCAGACCTTGTGCAGACACTGTGAAATTGAGTTTCTTACCTTCTCCCAGGAATGGCACTGAAGTGACATTTCCAGGGTCTTGTGGTTGAACCTCCCCCTGCCCATGGAGCCCAGAGTCCCAGAGAGTGGGGTGTGGGATTTGATGAACTAATCACTGCTTAATTGCTCTGTGTTGGTGCAAGAGAGTGTAAATGAGATGTGGAACAAGGTGTAACTGGCAAAACCTCTGGGGGTGACAGCTGGAGTGGGAAAAGGTCTTGGAAGCTTTGGGTGAAGGGACAGGATGGTCTGGTCCTCTGCCGAAGGCAGGGATGGCTTCAGGTGAGAAAAATCCTCTTGAATAAGCAGAAAACAGCTATGAGGCCTTTGTTATGGATGGAGTTTTAGGGTTTTGGCCACTGGAAACCAAAAGTGAGCTTGGCTCCCTTTGAGGAAGCAGCAGGGAGGGGAGAACCTGGGCCTGGGAGGTCCCTGAGCAGCACAAGCTGCCCCGGTGAATTCCCTGTCACATCATTCCTTGGTGGCCCCCAAAGGCATCCCTGCATCCCAGGATGGCCTGAATGCTCCTTTTTACTGACACACTTGTTTAATTCTTAATTCACAAGACATTTGCTTATTTATTCTCATTGTTCCTGATAATAATTCTAAACCATTAGAGGGGAAAATTGTATTCAGAAATGCTGTTTCACACTTTATTTGTTTGATGATTTAGAGCGATAGAAAATAGCACATTTGCTGGCTTTTATAGTCTGATAATTATCCACATCCATCAAGCCCCATTCCAAGGGAATAAACAAAACACCAAGAAAATTACTCTATTAATGATATCCTATGATGGCAAATAGGACAGACCTCTCTTTTGTGTTAAGGAGAGAGAGGGGATTGTCCAGTTCAGCTCATGTTGGGAAGGAATTCCTGGCTGGGAGGGTGGGCAGGCCCTGGCACAGGTGCCCAGAGCAGCACCAGGATCCCTGGAATGCCCAAGGCCAGGCTGGACAGGGCTTGGATCAGTCTGGGACAGTGGGAGGTGTCCCTGCCATGGCAGGGGTGGAAATGGATATTTAAGATCTCCTCCAACCCAAACCATTTTGGGATTCTATATTAACAAAAGCAAGCCACCACTCCAGGAAGAGATCTTTTTCTGATTCATTTATAGCTTTGGGGCAAAACCTTTTGGACTTGTGATTCTGACTCAAGGGCTCAGAAAATTGCGTGGAAGTAGAGCTCGGAAATGCTGGATTTAGGTTTCATGAAATAAGTTTGGGAGCTGAGAGTCTTTCCCAGAGAGCAGCAAGTTCTAGATGTGTACAAGTGGTACTTGATCCACTTCAGGGATTTTCTGTTGTTTTGGTGGAAAGTAGAAAAAGGTAATTTAAAAGGCTCAGTATATTACTTTCAGGTTGTTGACTTGGGGGTAAGATGACATTTGAGTCACAGAACTATAACTTTTTTTATCTCGAGCTGCTTTTTCTTTCCCCATTGTGTAAATCTCCTGCTCCCTGGCAGAGCAGCAGCACATTTTTCCTGCTGTAATCCCCAAAGTGCTGAGTGGCAGGGTTTTGGGTGAAGCCTGGCCCTTTGTCTTGGTCACCCTGTGCAAGGCTGAGCCTTGGAACTGGGCTGGAGGTTTGGTTTATCTGCACCCAGAAAAAATCACACCTGCTGGTGTGGCTCTGTGTCCATCAGTGTCCCTTGTCCTGGGGACAGAGGGGCACATCCAGGCCAGTGTTCCCAGCACTGGGGGCTCCTGCACTCGTGCCTGAAGAAAAGGAAATTATTGGCTGTTTTTCACCTGTGGAATTGAGGTTTTGCAGCTGAGCTGAGCTGTGGGGATGGTGGCAAACTGTGCTGAGGGACACAGGGGTGCTGGCTCTCACAGAGAGCAGGGGGCAGCAGTGGCACCCAGAGCCAGCCCTGCTGGGTGCTCGTGGCTCAGAGGGACAGCACCCCTTGGATTGCAGCAGTTTTTAATCTTTCCATTGTTGTTCTGCCTCACAATCAATCATTTTGTGTGTAGATGCAGCTCAATCTGTGCCATACGTGCAGGAGCCTTCTGCTTCTCTTCCTGGTTTTAAATAGCAGCCCAAATTCTGTCTTTATTGCCTATCTTTATGTAAATCAGATTTGTGAGCATAACTTAAAGCAGAATTTGACCTACTTTTAATTCTCTTCTGCAGTTAATATTTTGAATTCCTAAGAATAAACGCAGAGGGATGTGTAGGCTCTGCTTCCTAAAGACTGCCCCAAAGAAAAAAGTTAATTTCTAAAATTGGACTCAGCTATTACCATTCTGTGCTGGGGTATTTTGATTTGTATATTATTACATATAGTTCTTTTATATGAGCTGGAAATTCCTCCTCTCTGGCTGGTTTCTATCCAAGCAGGTCTTTTTCCTTTGTCTCTCCATGGGCTGTTCTCTGAAGCCTTGCTTGGCTTTTTGCAGGCTGCAGTTTCAGATAACACAATAACCGTGTTCCAATGTATTAAACTTTTAACATCCTCAAGATTCAATTAATCTTATCTTTACAACTCCCAATTACAGGCACTAATTAAGTGAAGGTTGCATTGTAGACTGGGGATATTACATTAATCATCAGCAGCCTTGTAGCCATAAATTAGTTCTTTCCCAATCCTTCAGCATTTTTCCCAGAAGGAATGGAATGTCTCATTTCCCTGTTTTAAGGGACATTAATCCCACAAAGGAGCTTTGGATCGGGATTAGTTTTATCACATTTATGTAAGTGATGAATGGTCTTTGTAAAATAAAAGCCACTAGCTTTGTCCCAGACAAATGAAATTGAATTGTTTGATAATTATGCAATTTAAGGCACTGTCAAACTTTGGTCAGGGAATGTTGGGAGTCCATTGCTGCATTTATTATTTCACAAGATTAGGTGCTGCATAGTGTTTTACCTTAAATTTTTTCTCAAGCCATCAGTTCAAATCAGCTTAGTGCCTGAACCCTGCAGGGCCCTGTGTGGGATTTGTGTGCTGTCATCCCCCTGCCAGGCCAGCCCAGGTGTGTTTGATTTCCTGGCACAGGTTGGGTGTTGAGCTGCTTCTCCAGTTGTGGTTTTACACTGGAAAATGCAGAATTTGTCTGGCTGAAACCCCCAAATTCAGGTGCATTCTGAGGGGGCAGTGCTGGGCACCTGTTGCTGAGTCCCCTCCTGCAATTTCCTGATCCCAGTGAGGGATAATGAGAAGGATGGGTTTGACATCTTTATTGGAAACAGCAAAAATAATGCATTTTTTATTATTCACTTTGAAGAGAAGTTATAGCTGGCAATAAATGCCGTTCCCACAAATGTAAATTCTCAGAATTCTCTGTCGCAAAAAGCAGGGAGAGCCATATTTAATTTGCTGCAGAATGTAACCAACGATTTACAAATTTCCACTGGCAATATTATTGTGTGTCATCATGTTAAACACGTTGAAATGTGTCCTGGTATTCAGCTCCCTTCTTATAACCTGAACACATAAATCTCTGTCACCTGTGCTTTGCTCCTGAGGATGTTCTGAACCTCAAAGCACTGAGAGAACTGACAGCTTTTGGGAAGAAAAAGCCATTTGAAACTTCCCTGGTGTTTGTACGTGCTGGGCACACCCAGCCCTGTGGCTGGGACCTGAGGGACAGTTGATTGTTTTTCCAGAATTACGTTCAATAATTTGCACTCCAAAAAAATTCCAGCCCAATTCTTTTGCACTTTACTGACCCCAAATCTAAGAACACTGTTTTTAGGAGGTGTAGAAGTTGTTCTCTACACCCTTTAATGATGTTTTCATCAGCAGGCCCTGCATTTTCAGGGTCACCTCATCAAGAAAATTATTGAATACTTGAATTCCATTATTTCACATCAGACAATAAAATCCAGCAGGGACTTAAGGATTGAGCCACGACTGCTTGAGCTGAAGAATATTCACTTTTCTGAATAAAATGAAAGCTATTTGCACAGAAAAAGGCTTATTCTTTTCCAAAGCACACAGACCCTCCTTCGCACCTTTCCAGCCCATCTGTTTCTTGCTTATTAATATTTAGCACAGTTTTATTTTGCAGATATTTTCCCCATGGAGAACACACCTGCTGTTCCCTGCACTCAGTTATTCCTGGGGTTTCCAATGCTGCATCATCACTTTGTCTTCTCCATTTTCCTTGTACCTTGTGAAATCTTGTGATGCTGTTTGAGAAGGTGCCAAGAAAACACACACTTCATGTAACATGTCTGAGGACTTTTATTAAATGCTGTTTTTACCATGGATTGTATGTTACCGATGCCTTTCAGACACACAGAATTTTGGTTTTATTGCCAGCCATTGTGTGCTGTGCTCAGGGTTATTGCCCCACTTGTTCCTTGCCTTTCCTCTCCCCGTTTTTACATTAAAGATGTATTGATTTCATCATATCTAATGATCTTTTGGCTTCTGTCTTTTCTCTCCTCCCAGGTACGCCATTCCCCCGGAGCACGGCAAGAGGCTGGAACGCCTGGCTAAAGGTGAGCCTGGCTTTGGGCTGGGCTCAGCAAGGACTGGCACTAACTGAGCCTGCCGGGCACTTGAGGGGCTGCTGGAGGAGCCTGCTGAGCTGGGGAGCAGCTTCAGAGCCAGAGAACTTGACAGGGAATTTCAATTTTCCTTCCAACCCTTCCCTCCGAGCCTCGGTCTCCTGGCATGGCCTGACCTGAGCTAAACTAAACTAAACTAAACTAAACCTGACCTGAGCTAAAATTCCTTAAAAACCTTTGGATTTTGAGGCATTGAGGCCAAACCCTCCCATGGCTGGGCAGTGGGTTTAATCCACAAGGGTTTGGGTTGGAAAGGACCCTAAAAATCCTTTCATTGCACCTTCCATTGGATCAGGAATGCTCCCAGGGATGGGGCAGCCACGGCCTGTTCCAGTGTCTCACCACCCTCACAACAGACATTTCCTGCCTGATATTGAACCTCAATTTCCCCTCTTCCAGTTTGTAGCCATTGCTCCTTCACCCTGTAAATATATTTTGTATTTGGTGGTTTTCCTTTTATGTTAGCCTCATCCTCCTTTACTTTTCAGTGCAATAAAGTTCGTCTTAAAAAGGAAGAAAAAATGAAAGGGAGGGAAAAAGAAAAGGAAAATGGGAATAGGGGGAAGGGAGAGTTACTTTGAGCTGTGGCAAACTCCCACCTCTCAAGCTTCAGGGAAGATGTCTGGCTGCAGAAGTGGATATGTTTTAATTTGTTGGTGTTGTTTCTATTTTTGTCCACTTGCAAATGTTCAAGGAGCTGCCCAGCTAAAAAAAGCTGCTGGCCCAGAATAATTAACTCCAAATCTCTGTGGTTTATCTCCAGCGAGGCAAGTGGGGTGGTTTAAATCTGCTGGTGAAGGCAGGAGCAGGCAGGGAAATCTGGAAGGTTCCACCCTGATGCAAAAGAAAAGAAGTTCTAATGCTGATTTCCCAGAAAACAGACAAATTCCTGCGCTGCCTTTTCCTGCTGAGCACACTCCAGGCTGTCCAGCTTGTTGTGTGGGGTAAATGCAGAATAAGTGGGGATGAATGTCCTGGGGCTTGGTGCTGTTCTCCTGGGCACTGAGCTCCCTGATCCCTAAATACAAATAACTCTGGAAATGGCTGCTCAAAAACGTTGCATTGCAAAGCTACAGCTCAGTAATTTGCCAGGTTTTAATAGATGAAAAAAGTAATTTTTATAAGAAGTCAATCAATCAGATGACTTGTGTTCTGCAGACTCTGAAATACCACTCCAAGTCTGACAGGAGCAATAATAAGTTTCTTGCTGTTTGTAACTAATTTTTACGGATGATCAATTTTGAGGCACGGAGATGGTTTGTGCTGTAAAACCAGGAGCAAATTATCAATGATCTGGTCTTTATTTTAGTTTCCTGTCTCTAGAAGCTGGGTGGGTGATGATTTAACTCTGCAAAGAGCCAAAATTGCTGCCTGGCCATTCCCCTGTCCTGTGCATCAGTGGGGAGAAGTTTACTATGGAGAAATGAGTGTGCAATTAATATGGAAAATGAATAGCTGAGCTGTAAATGGGCTCACTGGGAGAGCCATGGAGCCCATGGAGAGAATGTTAATGTGTTGCCATGTTATTGGTGCTAATCACTTAAAATGTGCTTCTTTATTAGTGGCTTTAATGAGAGCCACTTAAACTGTGCATTAAAAAGAGGAACTGCAGAGAGGGACGACAGACTGGGTAGCAGACAGTCATAATTTGAATTGAAATGCTTTTAGTGCAAAAATATAAGTAAACCTGGAATCCAGTAATCCTTTTGACTTTCTGAAACCCCTTCCATTATGTCTCATCAATTAATGTTGGTTCCAGAGATTGGGTTATTTGTTTTCCTAAGCTGTGACGGGTTTGAGTCCCTACAAACACACAATTTGTTATGGAGTCAGCCACTTGGAGGGAAGGACATAGTGAGGAAAATTGGGCTGAGCTGCCATTGAGGGGTTTGGGCAGTGTTTACTAATTAATTATTTGTGATTAGTGGCAGAATTTAACACTTAGGGGTGTTGAGGTGCTGACTGGGTCAGCTCCTGCTGCCTCTGCCACTTGTTGGTGACCACTGTGAACGTGTCCCTCATGCCACTGCCTGGGATGAAGCCCTTTCCTTTCCCTGAATATTAACATTTTTCCCTTTAGGTAGTGATATGTAGGGCAGGTTGATGTGGAATCTGGCAGGTTGTGTTGTTTTCCCAAGGACATTCCTTAGTGATGCTCCCCCTTTGAATGTCTCCACAGGATTCTTCCCAGGAAGCTCTCAGGGATGTGATGCTTTCCTCCGTCACAAGATGACCCTCATTTCTCCCTCCATCCTGAAGAAATATGGGATTCCCTTTGACAGGGTAGGTCCCTGCAGGCTGTCCCTGCACAGCTCCTCTTTCCTGTCAACCCAGCAGAACCACTGGGGGAATTGGCTTCATTTCCAAGGGCATTGTTGTGCTGAGTGCAGCCTGGGGTTCCGACCAGCTCTGCTGCAAAAAGGAGAATTTGGGTTTTGGCTGAGACACTGAAGAGAGGCAAAGCTGTCACTGAACAAACTCTGGCAGTGAGGGAGCCTCTCATGTAGAGAGGGACGAGCTGATAAGGATGGTCTGGCTCATCAAGGGGCAGCAAAGCCCCACTGGTGATTCTGAAACTCTTTTTGATTTTTTTGTGGATCCAGTGTGACCCAAAGTGGAGCTGGCTGTGCTGGTTCCCTGTTGTGTAAGTGTTCATGCTGCTCTCTAAGCCTGGAAGGATCCCTGCAGCTCTTAAGCCCTGATTTGAAAAGAGGGGTCATGTTTATTTGGTATGATCGTTTTAATGTGCTTATTCTTAAAGTCTTGTGGCAAGAAGTAAATCTCCTCAGCCAGGGGTGGTTACAGGGATTTGTATCTGTGCAGAATCACTCAAACTGCTGCTGCTGCTGCTGCTGGCTGTTCCCAGCACACAGAGACAGAGCTGCCTGTGGGTGGGAGAAGTGTCACAGAGGCCTGCTCCAAACTGCTTTCATGGAATCATGGAGTGGGAAAGGACCTTAAATCCCCAACATGGGCAGGGACACCTTCCACTGTCCCAAACTCCAAGCCCTGTCCTGAAACAGTAAAGTTTATTATTCACAAACAGGGAAAAAGTGCCATTTTTCCTGAGGAACAGAGATAGGATCCCTTCATCCAAATCCTTGGCAGATTTCAATGAAGTTGAAATAGGCAGCATTTATAAATCTCTATAATGCTGTTCTGGAAAAAAAAAGAAACAGATCAATACTAGGGCTTTTTAATAATTAAAAATGTGTATTTCTGTAATCTCCTATTGATTTCTCCATTTATTCCTCAAGAGCTTGCAGAAGTCAGTAAATTTGGGGCTTTCTTCATGAGTGGCAGTTTGTGCTGGCTTTCCTTCAATAGTTATTACTTTTCTGCATGGCCTATCCATCATCTGGAGTGTTTTCTAATTTATTGTGGGATAATGTTGACAGCAGTGCCATGGATGATGTGGGCTTGAAATGGAGACATCAGGATGTGCATTCACTGACAGGAACATCATCTGTCCATCTCCTGGAGCCAGCAGAGTGGCACTGCTGGGCTTTGTGGAGGGGCTGGGTGCAGGCAGGACTTCAGGACCTCCTCCTGAAATCCTGCAGGGCCTTCTTGTGCATCACAGCAGCTTTTATTCCCTCTTTCTTGAATTATTCTTCTGTTAATGACATCTGCAAGTTTAGTTGCTGGCCCAGCTGAGGGGGAAGTGTTTGAAGTTCTGTGTGTTTCCATTTTGCATTTGGCCCCATCCTTGTGTTGGGAAGTGCAGTCCCCTGGGGTCTCTGTGGGCTCAGAGCTGCTGGGGTGTGGGCTGTGGCTGTGGGAAGGAATCCAGGCAGAATTCTTGGCCTGTGACAGCTGGGAGAGCTCTGTCAGCACTGCTGGTTGGAAGGACAGGGAAGGTCAAGCTCTGCCTCTTCCATTGCATTGATCTTCTGGAATGTTGCAGCCTGAGACCCCTTTGTGACTGGAGCCTGCAGGTGTAAATAGTTCAGGGTATGTGACCCCTTCCATCCACTGTTCTGAGTTTTTCCCTTAGGAGAAACCCTTGAGTATTCCTGCAGATCCCCAGGAATGTTCCAGGCTCAGCCAAGAGCTGCTCTGCCGACCCTCCAGTGGGAAGAGACTTCATCATTAGGGTTTTTTAATGAGTCTCTGTTCTCAGGCTGCTGCATTAAGTGACCTGTGGGGTGTCTCCTCCTTTTTCCTGTGTTTTGCAGATCACCCAGGAAGCCGGGGAGTTCATGATCACATTTCCCTATGGGTACCACGCTGGCTTCAACCACGGCTTCAACTGCGCCGAGTCCACCAACTTCGCCACCCTGCGCTGGATCGACTACGGCAAGATGGCAACGCAGGTGGGCAGCTGGGAGGGACAGCTGGGGCAGCCCTGGCACACACAGCCATGCCCCCTGTTTGTCCTCATTCCTGAGGAGAGCACGGAAAGTGCCTCTGCTTTGGGGTGTGCTCTCTCACTGTCCCACGTCACTGGTTTTGCGTCTCAATAATTTATTTTCACGGAATTCACAGAATCCCAGAATTCGCAGAATCACTGGGTTGGAAGGGACCTTAAAGATTGAGTCCAACCCAGCCCCAACAACTCAGCTGAACCCTGGCACCCAGTGCCACATCCAGGCTTTGTTAAACACACCCAGGGATGGTGACTCCACCACCTCCCCAGGAAAACTATTCCAGAACTTTATCACCTTTTCTGTAAAACTCATTTTCCCAATATCCAACCTTTATTTCCCTTGGTGCAGCTCAAGGCTGTGTCTTCTGGTTCTGTCAGTTCCTGGAGAAAGAGCCCAACCCCACCTGAGCACAGCCACCTTTCAGGGAGCTGTAGAGAATGACAAGTTCACCCCTGAGCCTCCTTTTCTCCAGGCTGAGCACCCCCAGCTCCATTTTATTCTGAGGGTGTAGGAATGGCTTTCTCAAGTGCTGCATGCAGGTTCTGAACAGGTTGTTTTGGGATTGGTAAATTGGAATTAGTTTTCTGGTGCATCCAAACTGCGTTTCACAGTGAATAAGGTGACTGATGTAACTGAGCACAACTCATTAGGTACACACTGGAGGGGAAGGAATAAGCTGGAAATACTTTTAAGCTTTAATAGCACTATGGTAATAACACTGAAAATACCTGAATTCCTCTAATCTGTGCACTCAGTTAAGTTTGGAGAGTTATGTTTGTGTGGTTATTTCTCATTAGGGCAGGTTCCTGGTGTACTTTGGTTTGTGACAGCTCTCCTGGTTTGAAATCTGCAGAATAACTGACCAGCAAAGCTCATTCCCAGTAGAATCTGGGAAGTTTTGCCATGAGCAGGGACACCTTTCACTATCCCGAGTTGCTCCAAGCCCTGTCCAGCCTGGCCTTGGCCACTTCCAGGGATGGGTCAGACATTTGGATTTGTTCTGGAGTTAAAGGGATGGTAAGAAAAACCTTAAACTGGAAGAGACCTCAAATCAGTGTCAGGTGTCTGAAACTCAAAAATAGTCAAACAGTCTTGGTTTAAAAATGTAAAAAATGGTGCTTGTCTGCTGTGACCTTGTAAAGCAGGTTTATGTGTAGTGAGTGGTCATGGTATTACACCCCAGAAAATGGGGTTTATCATGGAAATTCAGACAGACCCTTAACTACAACAGAGCCAGCAGGCACCACTCGAATATTAAAAGCAATTTTGGGCTCAGCCATGTGTTCACAAACAAGTGACATTTGGGAAGTGCAGTTTTAGATGGAGCCTCCATGCTTACATTGTTAGGCAGCGTAGCGTGAAATTACTGAACAAGCAGCAGCAGGGCAGGAGCAGATCTGGGGACACAAAGTGGAAGTGTGGAAGGAGATGCCCAATTTATTCCCACTGCACTCTGTGGCACTTGTCTGTTCTGAGCTTTTTTGCTTAATGCTGCTCCAAACCAGTGTTAATGAACCTGGGCTGGGGGTCCCAGCTGAGGGGGAGTTTGTCACACTGTGGGGGCAAAGCTTTGTTTAAATCTCATGTGAGGTTAAGCAGGGACCTGAGGAATGATCAGCTGAGGGTGTGCACTGCCTGCACCTCTGTGGGGGGAGAATTCCTGCAGAGACATCAGGAGGAAATTCCTGGCTGGGAGGGTGGGCAGCCCTGGCACAGGTGCCCCCTGGATCATGGCAGTGCCCAGGGCCAGGCTGGACATTCCAGGACATGGAAGGAGTCCCAGCCATGGCAGGGGTGGGATGAGATGAGATTTAAGGTCCCTCCCAACCCACACCATTCCTGAGTATGTGATTTTTAATTAACTACCACAACTTTCCTATATTTCAGAAATGGCTTCATTGATTTATTTGCTCCCAGGCACAATTAGATTGTCCTTGCTCATATGCAGACAGGTTTGGGGATTTTTTTTCTTACCATATACTCATTTATAGAAGTTCTTGGGACGTCTGAGCTGGGCAAAGCTTTACAGGCTCCTGCTGTTCCTGCAGTGACCCAGGTGGTGATTCCTCCTTTCCTTGGGCTGCCAGCACAGCTCTCTTGTCCTGCCTGCCCTCAGGAGAGTGGGGACATGGCCAGGTTCATAATTAGTCCCTTGTAATGCTCTCCTGGACATTATCCTGGGGAGGAGGTTTGGGCTGTGCTGTGCTGAGAGCTGTGTGGCAGTGGTGCAGTGCAGGGCAGGAAGGTAATGGTTCACCTCAGAGAGCAGAGCTGTGCTAATTGCCTGCCAGATGGGTGCAATGTTCTGCATCCCACAGAGAACCTGTAAAAAATACAGGATAACCAGCCTGGAGTGTAAAGATCAGCTGCTGAGACACTGGTCCTGCTCTAATTGTAGAACAAGTGTCAGGATTAGCAAAAAAAAAAAATAGCAATGGCTGCAGAGTAGTGTGGGAAACTAACAGTGGATAAATCCTCTTGTATCTGTAAATGAGTACCAGGATCCAGCAGATCCTTGTTTGGGGATGGAGAGACCTCCAGTGATCCTGGGCTAAAGCTGAGCAGCAGAGAGACCTGCAGTGATCCTGGGGTAAAGCTGAGCAGCAGATCCTTGTTCAGGGATGGGAGAGATCCCCAGTGATCCTGGGGTAAAGGTGAGCAGCAGATCCTTGTTTGGGGATGGGAGAGATCTGAAGTGATCCTGGGGTAAAGCTGAGGAGCAGATCCTTGTTTCGGGATGGGAGAGCCCTGCAGTGATCCTGGGGTAAAGCTGAGCAGCAGATCCTTGTTTGGGGATGGAGAGACATCCAGTGATCCTGGAGTAAAGCTGAGCAGCAGAGAGATCTGAAGTGATCCTGGGGTAAAGCTGAGCAGCAGATCCTTGTCTGGGGATGGGAGAGATCCCCAGTGATCCTGGGGTAAAGCTGAGCAGCAGAGAGACCTGCAGTGATCCTGGGGTAAAGCTGAGCAGCAGATCCTTGTTCAGGGATGGGAGAGATCCCCAGTGATCCTGGGGTAAAGGTGAGCAGCAGATCCTTGTTTGGGGATGGAGAGACATCCAGTGATCCTGGGGTAAAGCTGAGCAGCAGATCCTTCTTTGGGGATGGAGAAACCTGCAGTGATCCTGGGGTAAAGGTGAGCAGCAGATCCTTGTTTGGGGATGGGAGAGATCTGAAGTGATCCTGGGGTAAAGCTGAGGAGCAGATCCTTGTTTCGGGATGGGAGAGCCCTGCAGTGATCCTGGGGTAAAGCTGAGCAGCAGATCCTTGTTTGGGGATGGAGAGACATCCAGTGATCCTGGAGTAAAGCTGAGCAGCAGAGAGATCTGAAGTGATCCTGGGGTAAAGCTGAGCAGCAGATCCTTGTCTGGGGATGGGAGAGATCCCCAGTGATCCTGGGGTAAAGCTGAGCAGCAGAGAGACCTGCAGTGATCCTGGGGTAAAGCTGAGCAGCAGATCCTTGTTCAGGGATGGGAGAGATCCCCAGTGATCCTGGGGTAAAGGTGAGCAGCAGATCCTTGTTTGGGGATGGAGAGACATCCAGTGATCCTGGGGTAAAGCTGAGCAGCAGATCCTTCTTTGGGGATGGAGAAACCTGCAGTGATCCTGGGGTAAAGGTGAGCAGCAGATCCTTGTTTGGGGATGGAGAGACCCCCAGTGATCCTGGGGTGCCAGGGCTGGTCCCATGTGCTGCCAGCAGCCCTTCCCAGGGTTGTGCTGTGGCTTCATCCCATTCCAGAGCTCTGGCAGGGAATGCTCCTGGGAGCTGCAGTCCTGTTTGGTGACGAGGTGTCAGTGTCACAGTGCAGCAAGAAGAGACAGGAGAAGGGAGCTCAGAGGGGTTTTCACAGCCTTGGAGATCCTGGAACAATGTTTCAGAGTCAGCTGTAATCCAAATATTTGCTTTGGACTTCAGCATTCCTGATTCAGCTGAGGAGGGATGGGTTTATTTGTATATGGCACAGTTAATGTTTGCCTGCATAGGCAGAGCTTAGGAATTAGGGAGAAATATTTCCCTTTGTTCTCTGTACTTGGAGTTCCTCAGCCATTTGTCTTCCATTTGTCAGATTTTTTTTTTTCTGTTTGGTTGTTGAAAAAAGCTGCTGAGTGAAAGGCAGGAAATTATAATTTTCATTCCTTACTATATCTTTTATTAAATTTCTTTTTATTTTGCACCATGAGCCTGCAGTTCCTGCCTGGCTTTTTGTTTCTGAAAACCCTTGGATGGCACCACCAGAGGATTTAACAGCTGTGTCTTTGCCCAAACAACCCTTTTAAAGCAGGGGCTTCAGGAAGTGCCCTCCCTGTAGTCACAGTGAGCCTCCTGCTATTCAGACACCCTTTCAGAGTTTTAGCAGAAATTCAAATCCCACCTCAGCTTTTCTATTTCTTTGGCAAACCGGACTGAAAATAAATGGATGGGAGTGGAACAATCTCTGCACTTTCCTTTCAATTAAGTGCAGCCACTCCTGGAGAAGGTCTGGGTTCCTGCTGGCTGCCACTTTCACACCTTCCTTTATCTCCTGTTTACTCCAGAAAAACTGCTGGAATTCTCTCTCTCAACATAAAACAGGGTCAGGCTGCCCTTCCTGCCCAGGTCCTGCATTTTGGGCTCTGAAATAAACAGCTTTCACCTCATCCCAGGATCCTTTACATGGCTTCTTGCTTCTAAACCTTCTGCTCACTCCTTTTTCTGTACTGTATATATAATATAGAAACAATCTCAAATTTACACTTGGAATATCTGTGATTTCATGTTGTCTAGCATATAATTTTCCAGCTAAAATTGAAGCTTTCTTCTTACTATTCACATTTTGGTAGATTTTTTTCCCCTTCAATATGTCTGTATTTCCCAAGAAATATGTCTGTATTTCCCAAGAACATAAAACTTGTGAGGCTTTTGCAGAAATCTGTTTGGTAATACTGCAAAATTAGTCCCCAAAATAA